CTGTACTCGGGCCCTGACAGCAGCAGTCGTAGAGGTTAATAGTCTTAGGCAGATAGTATTGCCGACAAAGACAATGGAGACTGGAATGGCTATGTCTGGCTTATTAGCCGTCGTCAGCCAGACATATATAGAGCCAAGTGGTGCACCACTCGAGGCTCGAACTCGCAACCATTTTGATCAGAAGCCTAACGCTCTAACCATTGAGCCACGGGCTCCTTCCCTTGCCAGTTTAGGTGGGGAGATATCGAAACTCGTTGATGAACTTTCATCGACCGCTAGCTGAACTCACTTGTCTCCCTAACCGGCAAGACAGCGAACTAGTAGCTGAGTGGTTACGGCTTATGACTGGCTGACGACGACTAATAAGCCCGAAATGGTCATTCCAGTCCCCCTTGTCTTTTTCCAACAATGTTATCTGAGAATGGTAAATAATTCCGTACTTTATACAACTGGCTGCATGTTGGCAATTTAAATGCAGTTATATCACAGTAGCTGATTGACTTCAACCCAAATAATCATATATACCTCTGGACTGCGACTGAAAAGGACCGATTTGAGGGAGTTACTTCAAATTCACGCATTAATTTTCTCGTTAATTAAAAAAGGCAACACCGAATTAAAAACAAAGACTTCATACCACCAATAAGCAGTATACTTCGTTGATCTTGTGCCGTTGCGCGACGCACTTACCGAGGGTTCAGCTAATTGGTGCGTTCCCGTGTTCTCTGTGTGTTTCATGGCATATAAATTATCCGGCTGCTTTGTTTAGTATCCGAAGGATTTACTCTATGTTCGCGCATTTTCTTATAAATTAAACTGGGCGTCACGTGCAAACCTGCACGCATCTACTGGTTTGCAATCCCCCGCACGGGAACAACATCCTCGCCAAAACCACCGAAAGGGCAAACCCGGGTGTCTTGCACAGTCACCTCGGGCGAAAAAAGGGCGAGAATATGCTCATACTTTCGTCTACTCTGCTTATTACTCAGCTACTGACACGCTTATAGGATATAACAATGGTAGTTGATTATGGAGCAGATTGCTCTCCCATTAGACAGAAGATGTCCCCTAAAAATACAAGATAGAGTTAGATAGTGCAATAGGTCAACAGTTGGCCTGAAAAGGCAAATGGCGCCATGCGACCCAAAGGCAGAACTTGAGCCGTTATTTAATAACGTTTCGTTGACCAATAAGATGACACAGCCTAGTGGATAGAGCTGAGAGGGTGGAAACCCTGCTGGGATCGAGGGGAGATGAGTAGACGTTCTGTTAAGTCCAAACTAGAGCTGGATACTGTAGTAGGCCTATAAATAGTCTATAGACGGCAAGCGTTTCGACATAAAAGCATGGTAGGACTTGTGCTATTATTCAATAGCGCTTTACTTAACTCACAAGCTGATCAATTTACCTCATACAGATTGGGAATGCATACTGGGTGCCGACTTTCTAAAAAACGCACACAGGCCGCATTATAGTATACTACTTACTGGCCTTAGTAAGGATGATTACTAGGATTAGCAATTTAGCATAGGCACGTACGCCTAGCAGCAGTATTCTAGTCCTCGTAGTCCAAACCTAGCAGAAACGGACACAGCCTGGTGGATAGAGTTGAGAGGGTGGAAACCAAGGCAAACTTTGCTGTGCTCATGGCCCCAAACATGTACTTACTCAGAATAGTTTAAACCCAGATTCACACTCCTTGTTGAGATCAGGGGATATGAGCCCCAGCGTTGACTCTAATCAGCGTCCCCCCTGACAAAGGTTAGCGTCAGTGCTAGTACCAGTAATACTAACGCGCAGCTACATTGCTAGCTAGCTAGCTAGTAGTAGTAGTAGTGGTAGTAGTAGTAGTAGTAGTAGTAGTAGTAGTAG